GACTCTTCTTCAGCAGCAAGTCCCTGCAGCACAACTGGCAGCACTTGCGGCACGAAGTCTTGGAAGTCTTTTTGAAAAGCTTTTGGAAGAAAAACAAAAAGTCCCAAAAAGCCTTCGCGGGCCCCTGGGGGCCCCCCTGCGTCTGCTGCTTGCTGCAGCAGCTGCGGCAGCAGCTGCTGCAGCCGCGCGGGGCCCCACGCCAGCAGCAGCTCCGACAGCCCGTTCGCCGCGCCGCTGCGCTCCACGCTGCTGCTGCTGCTGCTGCTCAGCGTCTGCAGCAGCCACTGCAGCAGCTCCGCCAGCTCCGCCTCGCCCACGCCGCGGGCCACCGCCCCACACGCCCTTGCTGCTGCAGCACGAACTGCTGGGATCGGATCCCCGAGGGCCTGCTGCAGCGGCGGCAGCAGCTGCGGCAGGTACGGCAGCAGCGCCTGCTGCTGCTGACACAGCAGCCCCAAAGAGCCGATGATTTCTGCTGCTTTGCGCTTGACTTCGCTGCTGCTGCGCTCGCTGATGGCCCGCACCAGCACGGGGATGCAGAGAGAAAGTGCTGCTGCTGCTGCTTCATCTGAGAAGCAGCAGCAGTCCAAAGCGAGGAGAGAGTCAAGCGCTCTTTTAGAGTTTTCCAACGAGGGGTCTTTGAGGGCCTGCAGCAGCTGCGGCACCGCCTGCTGCAGCTCCGGCGCCTCCACTGCAGCAGCAACCGACTGCAGCGCAGCAGCAGCAGCAGCACGCACCTGCTGCGGCAGACACGCGTCGCTAGCCACGTCCGTCAGCAGCGGCACTGCCTTGTGCACGCAGATGGCTAGCTGCTTCGGGTTGCAGCTAGCCATAGCAGCTAGCAGCTGCAAGCTAGCCACTTTGGCTTTCCAGTGGGGCTGCTGCAGCTGCTCCGTGAGCAGCAGCAGCACGCGCCGCAGCCCGTGCGCGCTTTGCTGCTGCATCAGCTGCCGCGCGGCCTGCTGCGCTGCAGCGCGCACCGGTGCTGCTGCGTCTCCCAGGCACTGCAGCAGCTGCTGCAGCAGCAGCAAAGTGTACGGCTCGAACAGCCGGCCCAGGCTTTCGCTCAGCGCCTCCACGCACAGCAGCGCCCCCTGCCGCCCCACACTTTCTTTTGCTGCTAACGCTTGCTGCAGCTGCTGCAGCACTTCTTCTCTCTTCAAACTTATCAGCCCCAAACCCTTCACGCATGCAGCAACTCCCAAGGAGGCCCCCCGCCGCACTGGCAGGTCGGGGGCCCCCAGTGCTGCTGCTAGGAACCGCTGCAGCAGCTCCTGCGCAGCGGACCGCCCCTGCTGCTGCTGCTGCTGCTGCGGGTCTTGCTGCGGCGCGTCCTGCGGCGGCGGCTGCTCCGCAGCAGCAGCAGCCAGCAGCTTCACCAGCGGCGTCAGCGGCCGCGACAGCAGCCGCTGCACTTCTGCTGAAGGAGCAGCAGCAGACAGCAACGAAGCTTCCAGCCGCTGCACTATTGGCAGCAGCAGCGGATCATCTTTTCCCATCTTTTCCGCCAAAGACCCGCAAAACAAAGCATGAGCTGCCTGCGCTGCTGCTGCTGCTGGGTCCTCAGCGCCCTCGCTGCTGCTGCTGCTGCTGCTGCTGCTTTTGCCGCTGCTCTTGCCGCCGCCGCCGCTGCTGCTGCTGCTGCTGCTCCCGCTGCTGCTGCTGCTGCTGCTGCTGCTGAACTTGCTGGCGCAGCTGTCGAGGTAGCCGAAGATCTCCCGCCGCAGCGCGTCGCCCTCGGCGCCGCGGATTGCTGCAACACCAGCAGCAAGAAGTTCCTGCTGCAGCAGCGGATCTGCCAGGGCCTCGGGACACACGAGGCTGTCCTGCAGCAGGAACTGCAGCAGCTGCAGCAAAGTGTCAGCAGTCTGCAGCAGCCCGCGCTCGGCGCAGCAGCGAAGCGCGCTAGCTGCGCCGTGCATCACCGCCAGCTCCGGGCCTGTCCGCAGCTGCTGCTGCTGCTGCTGCTGCGGCTCCTGCTGCTGCGCGGGGGACGCCTCTTCCTCTGCTGCAGCTGCTGCAGCAGCAGCGCTTGCTGCTGCTGCTGCTGACCGGCCCTTGCCCTTGCCCTTCACTGTCCCGCCAAAAATGTTCGCAGCGTCCAGCTCCTTCTTCTTGTACACCATCCCTTGCTGCTGCTGCTGCTGCTGCTGCTCCTGCTGCTGCTGCTGCTTGGGGGCTGCGAAGGGACCCTCCAACGCACGCCGACCCATGAACAAGTCCAGCAGCAGCAGCAGCGCTGCTGCTACTGCTGCTGCCCCGCCGGCCTCGCTCTCCACTTCAGCAGCAAACGCCTGCGCTGCCTGCAGCACCAGCAGCAGCCAAAATCCAGCAGCAGCAGCATGCAGCAGTGCAGCGGAAAGCAAAAAATGCAGCAGCAGCAGCAGCAAAGTCCGCAGCAGCACCGAGGAACTTAACAAGAATCAGCAGATGCACCGGCATCAGCTGCAGCACAGCCAGGCCCAGCAGCAGCAGCAGCAGCAGCAGCAAATGGAAATACCATTTCTCTGAAAGTCTTGTCTGGGCAGGCGAGCAGCTGCGAGAGGACCTGGAGGTGCTGCTGCGCATCCCCCTTTAGCTGCTGCGGCAGCTGCTGCAGCAGCTGAGCAGCAAGTTTGGGGATTTCAGGATCAGCTTTGTCTTGCTGCAGCACGAGAAGAGTAGCAACAAAAAGAGGTGCAGCAGACCCGATGGAGTCCAGAGGAACGTGCTGCAGCGCAGCAGCAACCGCCTTGCGAGTTGCTGCTACTTCGCTCGTGGCCAGCAGCAGCAGCTGCGGCAGCTGCTGCTGCTGCAGCAGCTGCTCAGCAGCAAGACACAGCGCCTCCTGCCCTGCTGCTACCAGCCCCGGGTGCGCGCGCAGCACAGCAGCAAGACAAGCAGCAACAGCATCGGGGTCGAGTTTGGCCCGCAGCCGCAGCTGCTGCTGCAGCAGCAGCAGCGCCTGCTTGCATGCAGGTGCTGCTGCTGCATCTGCGCGCAGCAGCACAGCAGATACCAGCGGCAGCACCAGCTGGCTGCCAGCCAAAGACAGGGCCCCGCCGCCGCGCCCCGTGGACAGCACTGCAGCAGCAGCAGCAGCAACTTCCCGCTGCTGCTGCACCAGCAGCAAAGCGTCAGCTAGAGCAGCACGCCCAGGCAGCACAGCAGCAGAAACTGCTGCTTTCACCAGTTGCCGCAGACACTGCAGCGCGCTGCTGCAGGTGATGGGGCAGCGCAGCATCAGCTCCAGAGTAGGTAGCAGCAGCACTTCTGCTGCTGCTGCTGCTGCTGCTGCTGGTGCTGCTGCTGCTGCGGAGGTTGCTGCTGTTGGAGAGAGCAGCAAGTCTGCACATTCGCTGCCCGCGCCGCTCACGAGATACCCCAGCTGCAGCAAAACTCTGCTGCAGCGCCGCTGCAGCCGCAGCAGCTGCTGCCGCTTCTGCTGCTGCTGCTTCAGCCCCTCCTGCTGCAGCTGCTCTCGGGTAAGGCTCTTCTGGCCTTTTGCTGCTGCTCCCGCTCCTGCCTTTCCGTGTCCGCCTGCTGCC